ACTCAACCTGAACTTTGCCCTTCTCATTCTTTTGCATGGTTTAACTATCTGTATCGGACATTGTGATGAGCTGCACACATTACCCTTGGTGAAGGACTGAAGAAATGATTTCCCCAGCTACTAAGATAGCTGCCAGAAAACAGACCTCAGTTCCCCACCTGCTTTCCTTATCTGAAAAATTATACATTGCTCCTTCCTCAGAAAACCTGCAGCCAATGTCTGGGCAACACTGAGGTATAAAACTCTCGACTGGAGACAACCAGTAAGTACATTACAGGTGGAGACTCCCCATGGAGTTGCATGGGGATTCCATTGAGACCGCATCCCAGCTCAACTTCCCCTCTGCTCAGTCCCGCTTCTTTACCGGCAACAGGATCGCAACCCATGGTGTTGCGCCCGCACTGTGCTCAGCCAGTGAGTGGGAACCAGTCTCCACATGGGATCCGGTACCGGCAACAGGATCGCAACCCACGGTGTTGCGCCCGCACTGCGCTCAGCCAGTGAGTGGGAACCAGTCTCCACGTGGGATCCGAACCCTCGGCGGGAGCGCCGCCGCGCTCCCAAGCGGCGCACTCTCCAGTGTGCCACCGGGCCGGCCCTAAAGTATGGTGTTTTCATTAGGAGAGAACTATTCTTGACCTTCCTATCCTCAGCATCCCCCAAAGTTCTTGACACACACTAGATACTTAGCACAGTTGGCTAAATTAATATTTAAAAAGTAGCATTTAGAAGTCCAATGTGCTATCCATTGTACCACAGAGCCACCTTAAAAGGTAGCATTTAAATAATCAGTGCTTAAGAAAGCTTAAGTATTTAGAGAGCCTTTCAACATAAGAATGAGGATCATAATGCCATAAATCAAATGTATATGCTTTCCCCCTCACTTACATATTTAAAAAATGTTTCCAATGCACATAAGCTTGATCTCAGTGACTTTAGACTTAATAGGTCGATATAATTCCTAACAAATCAAAATGATAATAGCAAATTATATGCATATGTATGTCATGTGTTCCTGAGAAGTAAATTCAAAAATTATATAGCTGTGAATATTCATATATTGTTTCACTATACACATCTCATATTAAAGCTAAAATTATTGATTTAAATAGGAACCCTCAGTCTTAAGATAATTGTTGACTAGATAATAGTTATGTATTTTTCAGGCCAAATAAAATTAATTTCTCCCTCTGCCAATGTTATAACATACAATTGCCAGTTCTGTGCTTCCATTATTTTCTCCCACATCAAAACAGATAAAGATACTAGTGTATTTTGCCTTGACAAGTTCCCAAAGAGTTACATATAAAGATGACTAATCAGCATTTATTTTGCTATTCACTGCAATAGCATTTTTATGACAACAAAGAGTTTTTTTAAGTTTAATATCACCTCATTTAATAAGATAATACAGGAAGGTAGACATTATTTTATCCCCATTCATTCATGTAGATTTTTAGGGATCCAGCCATAAAGTACGTATCTCATATTGGTGGACCAGGAGCTAGAACTCAGGTCCTTTAATGCCAATGTCCCTACTGTTCCCTGAGCAAGAGATAAGGGGTGTTCAATGCACTTCCACTTACACAAACACTGGTATGAGGTGCTCCAGACTCCAAACATAACAGAAAAGGAACTACAAAGTACACAAATTACTTTTTAAGCACCAGCTGATTATTTTCTATCCTTACTGTCTATTCTTTTCCAAATACATCCAGATACTCTCAATAAACCTTTTTATAGTAGGCATCCGTGGATTGCTGATGAGGGAAATAAGTGGCCAAAGATCCAAACTTTAATTAATTATTGAAGTGATTGCAGCATAAACTAGGTGGAAGTGATGCTGTTTGGTAAATGGAGAATGAGAATTTCAAGGGTTATTGCAGGTTTCCTCAGATAGTCATAATCTTGAACAGTTTAAATCACTATTTCCTTTAGAAAGAGCAAACATATTGATGATGGAGGGGAGTGGGTATATAAATGAAACACAACAATAATCATTAACATATAAGTATTCCAAATTTACTCTGTTAAAAAAATAAAACTTTAAAAATTACCACAGTATACCTTACATATATGCATTTCATTTTGAAAGTAGAAGAAGCTAATGGTGTAAATTCATAGGTTTTAGCATTTGAGATATAGTAATGACTAAGCAATCATGAATTAATATTTTAATATGAAAGTACAAACCTAGTTGGTTTTTTAACCTCTATTTGTTCTTTAAAAAACATATTATATTTACTCTTTTTATTGAGGTATAATTTATATAACCATAAAATTCACTCATTTTAAGTATACAATTCAATATTTTTCAGTATATTTACAAAGTTGCATAACTATCACAATCTAATTTCTTTTTTTTCTTTCCTTTTTCTGTGTCCGGCAACGGATTGCAACCCTCAGTGTTGCCCCCGTACCGGACTGGGACCGGCAACGGGATCGCAACCCTCAGTGTTGCTCCCACGCCTCGCTCAGCCAGTGAGCGGGAACCGGTCTGTATGTGGGATCCGAACCCTCGGCGGGAAGTGCGCCACCGGGCTGGCCCAATTTTTTTTTTTTTTGTCTCTTTTTGTCTCTTTTTTCGTGTCCGGCAATGGATCGCAACCCTCAGTGTTGCTCCCACGCCTCGCTCAGCCAGTGAGCGGGAACCGGTCTGTATGTGGGATCCGAACCCTCGGCGGGAGCACCACCACGCTCCCAAGCGGCGCACTATAGCAGTGCGCCACCGGGCTGGCCCAATTTTTTTTTTTTTTTGTCTCTTTTTTTTTCTTTTTTTATTTCCGGGAATTGATCACAAACCCCCATGTCCCGCCCGTACCCGGCCCGGGACCG